CTGAGAATTAGCTTGACAAGAAACACTAAGGAATGATAGTGCTGGAACCAAGCGATTGGGGAGACTGAAAGCAGCTGTAACATGACTGAAGGGCTGTAGCAGGAGTCCTGGGTATATACTGTGAGAAGGGATAGTCTACAGATTTCTAACCCTGTCTGAGCTGGAGTAAGAATTACAGGATATTTTATTTTCTCTATTCTTTGGAAGGGGAAACTGGTTCAGATGCACACAGATAGTTATGGTGATCTATAGGAAACATTCGGTTTATGGAGGGAGGAAATGATTGAAAAGGCCAACCAGCACTTAGGGTTGTTATACAATAGATGGTTGAAACCCAAAATGAAAATCCTATTGATTTGAGCAAAGCCTGCTCAAATGCACCTTCACTGTATAACCTTGGTCTAGCAGAACCGTTCTCTGTGGCCCTGATCCAAAACCCACTGAAGTCAATAGATGTTTTCCCATTGACTTCAGTGGGCTTGGGATCAAGCCGCAGATATCTTTAGACACCATATCAGTTGATGCAAATCTCACCACACCCGTTCACTTTCATATTGTGGAAAGGTGTCAGGTCCATGGCAGGGGTTGGAAATGTTAGGTAGGGGTCATGATTTTGCTGTAGAAACGACAGTAAGTGGCATGTGACTTCACTGACTGAGTCCATGTTTCTCACTGCTCTGGTGACATAGGGCAGCAAGCTGCCCTCATCACAAACCAGATGGGGATCTACTGTAGGCAAAATACAGTAAAACAAAGATATTTGCCATATCACTATTGATCACTTGTTTTGATACAAAGCACAAAGTTTTTTATGGATCTTGCAAGCAGTAAGCCTGAAAATACTTTTGTCAGTAAACCTTTGTATGCACATTAAGGGTTAATCCTTCTACCATTCAGTGGATAAAGTCCATGTCACTGCGGTCTGGAGGTCCTTTTCTGCATGTTGATTTTCAGACCATCGCTCATGTGTTAACTTATTTAAGTTCTCATTTCTGTTTGAAGTTAGGTGCTTGAAACATTTCATTAAAATCTGAAATATTTTTGGGTACATTGGTCCTCTCGTTTATCCAGATAATCCAGTCACAGAACCCAGCCCTAGGTCAGGAGAAACCTGCACTGGAAGTTGGTCTCTGGGGTGGTGATGAAAGGGCTGCCTGCAAAAGCGATGCACATGCAAGTTTTTGTGAGGACATATTTGGAAACAGGGCTCTAAAATGTTAATTTTAAGAGAGGGCGTTGGACAGCGGTAAAAGCAGGAGAGAGGACTTGTGTGCAATTGACCGCCATCTATTAGGAAGCAGGGACTTTGGGTTTCTAATCTGATCGTTGGATGGGTCCCAAAGTGATTTTGCTAGTTCGTGTCTGGTGGATACATGTCTCCTAGTAATATAAATAGGACCTTACCAAATTCACAGTCCATTTTGGTCAATGTCTTTGTTTAAAAAATCGTAAATTTCATGATTTCAGATATTTAAATCTGAAATTTCACAGTGTTGTAATTGTAGGGGTCCTGACCCAAAAAGGAGTTGTAGGGGGAGGCTTCTAGTGTTGTTATGGGGGTTGCGGTGCTGCTACCCTTACTTCTGCGGCTGGTGGCAATGCTGCCTTCAGAGCTGGGCAGCCAGAAATAAAGGGAGGCGTCAGCTGCTTATGTCGTGACACTTCCTGGGCATGCCAAGGGCTGGGATGCACCTCGTTACCACCTGCCCTCAGCATGAGGGTGTCTAGTCTGTGCCTGCCAGAGGTCAGCTCGCTGACACCCCCAGCCACAGACACGCACTCCTCCCCCCTCAGCCTACGCAGGCTCCGCTGTCCCTCGGCAGGTTAGCAATAGGCACACGCCAACCCCCCGAGCCCTCTGAGCATCCGCCTGCAGCGTCCAGCCTCAGAGCCGCTGGACGCTCCCAGAATTCCCAGCGCCACAGCTCCCAAAGCAGCAGCACACGCCGCTGACCAGTGTCACGGCTGGACCCCGCAGCCCTGAACCCGCAGCACGTAGATTGGCTCATGGTAAAAGCCCTGACGACGTTTATGTAACAAAGGAAGAAACTGGAGAAGACGCGAAGGGGACTAGTGGCCTCAGAGGGTTACAGACAAAGTCAAACCAGAACACACATGCTAGAGCCGAAACGCCGCAAACAAGCTGCCTTCTCGTCTAATACAGGCTGCTTCCCCAAAGTGCTCCTCGGGGGGCTTTTCACCCAGGCTGGCTTAGACCAGAAGAGCCAACTCTCGAATGTGCCGGGAGGTGGGAGGGGGGCTCCCCCCAGCTTTGCCCCAGGCCCTGCCCCGACTCCGCCCCTTCCCCCAAGGCCCCACCCCACCTCTTCCCAACCTTGCTCCTCCCCCCCCCAGTGCCTCCTGCGTGGGCGGGCAGGAGGGGCTGATGGTGGGTGCTAAGCCCTGGAGCACCCGTGGGGTTGGCGCCTATGGCTCAGACCCTCCTTTCATGAGACCAAGCCTGCCGGCAGCTTGTCTTCTCAGATGCAGCATGCCAGGGCATTCCTCTGCACCCCTAGGTATGTCAGGCCATGTCTACACTAGCGAGCGCATGGCTGTACCAATGCAAGTAACCGCGCTCCTGTAGCCGCACTGTGCCGGCGGGAGAGAGCTCTCCCGCAGGCAGAATTAAATCACCGCCAGTGAGTGGCAGTAGCTATGTCCGTGTGAGAGCTGTGCAGAGGAGCGCTTATGCCAGTGAAACGTATGTCGCTCAGGGGGGTGTTTTTTTACACCCCTGAGTGACACAAGTTTTGCCAGCATAAGCAGTAGTGTAGCCATGCCCTTAGACCAGTCCTTTGTTCTTCTGTAGGCTTGCCCCACCTTCCCCCGCTGCTCACCTCTCCCTGTTAATGTCTTCTCCAGGAGTCCCCACAATTGCGTCACTTGACTCCGCGTTCAAGTAGATTTCCATTGTAAGCCACACGGTACACAGTGGACAGCCAGGGAGCTGTGTGTGTCCCCCACCTCCTGCCTGGTGGGACCTGTCATAAGGCATGTACCTCTGGCAGACCTGCCCTTTAATTCAAGGCTCTAAGAACATGATTTCCAGAATATGTGCATAGCTCCTTCCATATTATCTGCGCACACATCTGGCAATGCGTATGATGCCCACTGTGACACAGGCGTTTGGTAGACACCTTACATGACACTCTTTGGTGACCTAGTACGAAGATACAGTACCAGACCCAGGGGATCCCTGTAACTCTTATGTAGCCCTCTGCCAGCTGGTATTCTGAGGGCCTTCGGTCACATATGTCAATCATCTTTCTTGTGTGCTTTGATTAGCAGTGAAATAATTGACAAGACTGACATTTTACACACTCATCATTAGGTTTCAGAGTCAACGTGCTGAGTGGCACCTCACTCTGGCATCACGAGTAAATGGAATTTAAGTTGTGAGTAGAGAGTGACTTTACCATCAGTCATTTTCCAGTCCAAAGCCTGTTAAAAATAGCTAGTGATTGCTTCATTATTACCGGGCCATGGGAACTTCCCTGTACCTAAGCCACAGGAGGCAGGTCTCTTGAGACACCTATTGCACTTCCTAATAACTTTCTAAATAGAGAACTGGAACTGTAGGGTGAGGTTTCTCCTTTGACATTGCTGAAGTGAAGCTGTTGCCCTGGGAAAACAGCCGTGGATAATTCACGTTTGTTCTCCAGCTAGAACCTGTTTGGGGTGGGGCTAAGAAGTGATTTCAGTCATGATGGGCTGCAATACGTCAACTGTAAGCCCCTTGGGGGCAGTCTGTGTTTGTACAGCACCTTGCACGGTGCGGTTCCTGGTCCATGATTGGAGCTGCTAGCTGCTACCACAATCTAAATAACAACAGGCAAGTTGGTTTCATTCTGGAATGCTGAAAATCTCAGCCCTCTTGCCCTGGCTGTTCGCAGTCAGAGGATGGTGATATACATGGCACGTTCTCCTGGGCCACCCCTTGTGCATGAGAGGCGGGCCTGTACAAACCTCCAAAGCCTCCACTATCCTCCTTCAAACTCACTTCTGTGGCGACGCCCAAACCCCCTCGACAACGGCTAGGCAGTTGTGTGGTAGCTGCCCCTCACGGCAAACTGGCTTGTCTCCCTGTTAGCTTGTCCTCCGCCCCTTTTATGTCCACCTGTTGTTCTCTCATCATAGGCTGGGCCTGTGAGCTCTTCGGAACAGGGGCTGTCTTTTTAGCTACATGTGTGTACAGTGCCTAGCACAATGGGGCCTCAGTCCCTGACTGGGGCCTCGAGGCTCTACGGCAATACAAATAATCAATAGTTATAAATGCCCTATGCAGGCCTTGCAGTGAGGTTGGGTTGGGGTGTGTTACTCCTTTAAGCAGTCCATGTGTTTTTCTTTTGGAAGGTACTAACATGTGAAGCCAGGCGGGCTGTGAACCCCAGTGTGTACAGACCCAAAATAATTCCTCACAGCTCGGGGGCGTGGGCCTGAAGTGCCCCCACATTGGCAAATGCCAACATTCCCCTTGGCGTTCTCAATCTAATGTTCAGAAATAGTTCTTGTGCCCATAGTACTTACGTGGCTCTTTTCTCTGATTACCTGAGTGCCTCATTGTCTTGAGTGTATTAACCCCAATGACCCTCCTGTGAGGCAGGGCAGGACTATTAACTTCATTGCTGAGATGGGAAACTGAGGCACGGACCTGCTAAGTGACTTGCCCAAGGGCACACAGACAGCCTGTAGGAGAAGCAAGGACTTCTCCCAAGCCTTAGGTGAGTGCCTTTAATCATTGATCATTCCCATTTTGTGGTCTGTGGGGCACTTGTTGGTTCTGGCTTCTCCCCCCATGTCACCTGCTAAAACACATTAATAGAAGCTAAAACCACACTTAATACTTTCCTAGTATCACCTTGCCACGTCAGCAATTGCTATACTTGCAGAGGGATATTAGCTGGATGCAAACAGGAGAGGAGGGTCTTGTGGTTAAAGGGCAGGCCCAGGCCTCAGGAGACTGGGATTCAGTCTTCGGTCTGACACAGACTTGCGGCATGACCTTGGGTAAGTCACTTAACCTCTCTGCATCTGCAGAGTGTGACTGGTAACCCTGTCCTGCCTCACAGGGGGGTTGTGCGGGTAAATTCATGAGCAAAGGTAACAGGCTCAGATCCTGCAATCATGAGCATCGGCGCAATGCCTGCGAATAAAAGAGGAGGTGTCTGGGGCAATCTCGGCATTAAGATCATAGGATGGAAGGGACCTCGAGAGGTCACCTAGTGCAGGTGAGGCAGGACCAAGTAAATCTAGACCATCCCTAACAGGGTTTTATCCAACCTGTTCTTCAAAACCACCTATGATGGGGATTCCCCAACCTCCCTTGGCAGCCTATTCCAGAGCGTGACTACTCTAAGTTTGTTCCTTATATCTAAGATGTGGGTCGCACTGTGGAAGAGTTTGAGAACCGCTGGCTAACGTGAGCAGACACAATTTGGTGGGTTGCATCTCTTGCTATCCTCGCATGCAATGAGCCTGGGAGCAAACTTCTCCAGGGAGTTATTTCAAGTGAACATGTCTGAGAGCCTTGCCCAGGTCATTGCAATGAAGGTGCAAGGTCTCGGCAGAAACACACAAAGACAGTCACAGTCTGCAAGGTCTCTGGCGCAAGGGGTAATGTTTGCATTGAGAAATCAAGATAAATTCAGAGAAGCGGCAATCAAGAGTCACCAGAACACCTCGACTTGGGGCTCAACCCAGTTCTGTGACCTGGGGTGGAGACCCTGACCCTCCCAAAGGGAATTCTATCCCCTCTGTTGTCCCAGCAGCCATGCCCTGTGCAAAGCAATGCTGATGCTTCTCTCCCAGGGGACCGTGTCAGTTGACATGGGTGGTCATTTGTTTTGCTTTGAGAATTTGGGCTCGATAACTATTGCTCCGTGCTGGTGTTCTGATGCAATGCCAGAACATCTGCCCATTGCTGACCATGTGTGGGGCTGGGTGTGTATTAATTGCAGTGCATAGAAAACTGCCTACGGACAGCACTTAATTAGAAGGCTGTCCCTCGTGGCTTACATGATGTTTTACCTATTACCAGCTACACCCACACGCTCCCCGCAGCGTAAGATCGCACCAGGTAGGAACATGCATTTTCTTACCCACAGCACGTGGTAGGCCACGTTACTCCAGTCATTTGCCTCTCCTAGCTGTCTGCAGAGATGTCATGTTTCTTGCTTTTAATAGTGTGCTCACCCTGAGGCAGTCACAACTTCCATACAGGGACCGAGTGCCCTGGAGCTGTCTGTACAGAGCCATCAAAATGACACTCCAGATTCTGGAGGGATGTAGCTTGGCTCTTCAGGGGTCAGTGGTCGTAGGATTTGGATGGATTTGATTGACAGGATGCACGGATCTGGATGTCATTCTACTCCCTCAAACAATCTCTGCTCCCATTTCTCAGAGAGATTTTCTGCATCCACCAGCCGCGTCCCCTCCCAGGCTCTTCCCACGCGTAGTGTGGCTCGACTCACTCAGTTCTACAGCCTCCCTGTTTTGCAAAGATAGAAAAGGAGACACCAAGGGGTAAATGGCTTTTCCAAGGTCACATGTGGAGATTGCAAACACGGCCCAGCTCCTGTGACTCCCAGTCGTGTGCATTAGCCCCTCATTTCGTTGGTTGCCAGCTGTGAAACACTAGGCATTAGATCTCCCTTGTTGTCTCAGTTACCATCTGACACGGCCACCTGGAAATGAACCATACATGTCCCTGCCTGCATCAGCTACTGTAGTTACACCATTGTCACAAGAACATAAGAACGGCCACACTGGGTCAGACCGAAGGTCCATCCAGCCCAGTGTCCTGTCTGCCAACAGGGGCCAATGCCAGGTGCCCCAGAGGGAATGAACAGAACAGGGAATCATCAAGTGATCCATCCCCTGCCGCCCATTCCCAGCTTCTGGCAAACAGAGGTTAGAGACACCATCCCTGCCCATCCTGGCTAATAGCCATTGATGGACCTATCCTCCATGAACTTATTCAGTTCTTTTTTGAACGCTGTTATAGTCTCGGCCTTCACAACATCCTCTGGCAAGGAGTTCCACAGGTTGGCTGTGCGTTGTGTGAAGAAATACTTCCTTTTGTTTGTTTTAAACCTGCTGCCTATTTTTTAAAAAAAGTCACCTATCCGTCCCTGAGCTGTGGAGAGCTCAAAGATCTTGAACACCTCACTGGTGGACAGTATCTTCTAGTTGCTCAGGCAAATTTCCCTGACTCTGGTATCGTGACAACTTCAGAGTCCTAGCATGGTTGGGGGAGGGGGGGCCATCTACAGCTATTACAACATCGCTGCTCAGGAAGTGACGTTCGCTCCCTCGTGCCATATGCATTGGACTCAATCTTACAGGTGCCTCCTTCTCTGTTTGCTCTGCCAGACTCTCATGCATTGCTGACCTGCCTTGGCAGAAGGTCTTCCCATGTGCCTGGGCTTTGTGGGATACCCTGGGGATGCCCTGGTCTGGTCCCGCACACAGCGGCTCTGCACCCAGCACTTGATTGGTGAGGTTTGATCTGGACAGTTGAGTCACCACCAGACACTGTTCTGTGCCCCAGATGAAACTCTATTCTTTTTACCCCTCACTTGGAATCAGAGGAGGAGCCAAAGATTCATAATACGGATCATGAACAATAACCCTACGCGGCTGACTATGGTGATGCTTCCTTAGAAGAGGCCCTAGGTTTACTGTCAGTGACGTGACCTAATCCCTAACGTCTCCCAACTGCCCCCAGACAGTCAGCCCCCTAGAATCCAAGACCAATGCAAGCTGGGGACAAGGCTGGGCATGAAAAGCCAGTATTTGGTTCCCATGCGGATTCAGTGCCCAGTAAACCATCCGGCAGCTCTTCAGCACAGCTGCCACGTGAATCAGAGTGTGTTGTCATGAGTGACCCAGCCCACTTCAGAAATGGACCTTTAAAATTCCAGCCTTCGTAGTCACAAGAACCCCGGGGAGGTATATAACCCACCCCTGCGGTGCAGGCTGAGGAATGCAAAGCAAGATGAGGACCTGCCTGACTATATTGCTGGCTGCTGTCCTGTGTGCTGAACAAGGTGAGGTTCCCAGTGATTCTCTTGGGCTGCACGGTATTACAACATGCTCAGAAAGGAGGGGGACATGGGGAGGTAGCTGACGTTATTCTGAAATGACCTGCCTTGTGGTTCGGAGACCAGCATTTCTGTAGAGGGCACGATGGTCGGAGCTATTAAGCATCAGAAGGTGGGAATCCCAGAGTCTTCCCCCCTCCCCCCCCCCATGATGTCTCTCAGCTGAAAGTGAAATTATTCTTTGTGGACCTGTCAAGGCTGAATCCCCACTCTGGCACTTCGAGTGCAGGAGGTGGGGGCCCGCAAGGATTCTAAAAATTACTGGCCACTCCAGGCTTGTATTAAACGCTCAAGGTTACAGCTTAAAGGTTACAAAAAAACAAAAGCATCTGGGGTTAGCACAGAGGAGATCCACAAGCCAAAATAAGAAATAAACCTGATCGCATCTAACTAAACATTCCCGATCCAAATTATTTCTTCTAGGTATGGAAGGTAATTTTTCATACCTGATTCAAACCTTACACAGCATTCTTGCCTACAGCATTGCTGCTCCGTGTCCCTGCAGCCCAGAGAACAACAGACAAAGGGAAAGTTTCTTTCCAAATTTTAAAATTTCTTGCCTTCCCATTGGCTCTTTTGGTCAGGTGCCCACTCCTTTTCTTTTACCTGGGGGCTTGTTAACCCTTTACAGGTAAAGCAAGCAAAGAACAGCTACCAAGAGGGATTTTACAGCTAACTGGCTGGCTGGCTGTCCATCAAAGGGAGCTATCCCCCCACTTTATTTATCAGAGGATCCTTTCTGTATAATTTATTTCACCCATTTCTTGCATTGTCGCCGACCTATCCTAATCCCTAAAGATGGGTTTTCAAACATCAGTGTGCTTCACTTTGCCCAGTGTAAGTAAATGGAAATGTAATTGGCCAAACTGAGGGCAATTACATTTCCCCATCTGAATGGGGTGCCTTCAGCCCGAACTAGCTGAGGGTGTGCTATCTGGCAAACCCCTCGCTCAAATTCTTCAAATTTTACCCTCAAACTCTACCCTGGTCCCTGGCTTGACCTACCAATTTTCAGGCCAATCTGTCGTTTCTTGGGGGAGTATAGAGAGGGTGCAAAATTCAGCCGTAAACAGAGACTGCAAGCTTCGCTCTGGAGAGACTACTGCCATGTTACTGTTTGCAGAGTGCTCTAAATGTGCAGAGTATTATTAAAGCCAATCTTGCAGGTATAGAATTGCATAAGTATCCCAGTGCTTTAGTTGTGGGAAGGGTTTCCTGGTAGGAAGCATTAGTGTTGATCACTATTGGCAGTAAACAAAGTAGAGGGATCTGGCTTAGAAATCCCTATGTCATCTTAATTATTTTCTGATGTGTGTTGAAAAGTGAGACAAATCTATTAGAAAGTGTTTTTTACTATTGTAATGGGGGTTAGGTGTTTATCAGCAGATGGATTGGGGGATGGAGGGACAGGATGGTGGTGTCATGTATTGCAAACCTTGGTGTCATGTATTGCAAACATCTCTGTGATCTGCATGGTGTTTCCCTTCCTTAGCTCACTCGCTGAAGTGCTACACCTGCATCGCCCAGTCCAGCAACGACCAGTGCATGATCCCCACTGACTGTACCGATGGTGACAAATACTGTGCAACAATAATCGGGACTGACAAATCTAGTAAGTTTCAGCATTAGTGACTAGCAGAGAGAGTCTGTCTACTAGTCTGGGCACATCACTGAGAACAGAGAACTCCTGCTTTCTAATGCCACATGCTACATGACACTGACTCTTTCTCTGAGCTTGGCCACATCACTTACACTCCCTCTGCCCCACTTTCCCCAGCTTTGAAATGGAGATAATCAAATTCACTCAACCTACCTCACTGGGATATTGTGAGGCTTAATTAATGTTGTTCACAGGTATAGCCCCATATAATTGCTAATTATTCTCCTTATTACTGACCAGTGAACACATTATTAAAAGGTCACTGCACTCATTTGGCTCAGCCATGGCAGCCTGGGACTTCAAAAGTGCTCACCTGCTTCTTACCAAGGATATCATAGAATCACAAAATATCAGGGTTAGAAGGGACCTCAGGAGGTCATCTAGTCCAACCCCCTTTGCAGTGAAACCCGGGTCCTCTGCAAGCACTGGGAATCCTGTTACGGTTATGACCCGGCTCTTGGTCACTCCTTGTTATTACAGCGGTGGCAGAACAGACACCAACTCCGTGTGCTTCAGTAGGGTGCTAAATACTCCTGCAGGTGGTGCTTATCTGGCCCCCACTGCTGTCGTACCTGAGCATCTCCCAGTCTTTAACCTGGCCTCACCCCGGTGAGATAGGGCAGTGCCATTGTCCCCATTGTACAGATGGGGAACTGAGGCACTGATCCTCAAAGGTATTTAAGTGCCTAGCTCCCACTGATTTCAATGATTCTTGAATCTGGGCCTAAGCAACCTGCCCAAGGTCCCACAGGAAGGCTGTGGCAGAGCAGAGAAGTGACTGTCCTCTCTCAAGCCTTAGAGCAATGCCCTGAGTACTTGGCTATGCCGCAATGCTGGAGCTCCCTCGCTTTACTGAGACCCCCCACCCCGAACACCACATCCTTGTCCTCTCTAGCAAGTGGACGTGCGGGTTTGTCTTAACTCCACGTGCAGCATTCCACATTAGAATAGAATAGACTATCAGGGTTGGAAGAGACTTCAGGAGGTCATCCAGTCCAACCCCCTGCTCAAAGCAGGACCAATCCCCAACTAAATCATCCCAGCCAGGGCTTTGTCAAGACGGGCCTTAGAAACCACTAAGGAAGGAGATTCCACCACCTCCCTAGGGAGCCCATTCCAGTGCTTCACCACCCTCCTAGTGAAAAAGTTTTTCCTAACATCCAACCTAGACCTCCCCCACTGCAACTTGAGACCATTACTCCTTGTTCTGTCATCTGCCACCACTGAGAACAGCCGAGCTCCATCCTCTTTGGAACCCCCCTTCAGGTAGTTGAAGGCTGCTATCAAATCCCCCCTCACCTCTTCTCTTCTGCAGACTAAACAAGCCCAGTTCCCTCAGCCTCTCCTCATAAGTCATGTGCCCCAGCCCCCTGATCATTTTTGTTGTCCTCCGCTGGACTCTTTCCAATTTGTCCACATCTCTTCTGTAGTGGGGGGCCCAAAACTGGACGCAGTACTCCAGGAGTGGCCTCACCAGTGCCGAATAGAGGGGAATGATCACATGAGCTCCCTGTTCAGAGAGGTGGCCACTACCAGTGGGATGGCTGCAGATCATGAAGATTTCTCAGCCCTTGATTGCCAGATGAGCTAGTCCATGAGGCTGCTCTCCCCTCCGGGCCAGGCTGAGCGCCCTGAGGAGAAGGCTGCAGTACCCTTTGTTTCTCTTTTGATTTAGGCTCTTCCGGTGCAGTGCGCATCACCAAGCTGTGCCTGCCTATGTGTACAGCTGCCAGCCAGCATGCCGGCCTGGGAGACGTGTCTACCTCCTGCTGCCAGAGGGACTATTGCAACCGCAGCGGGGCGGCCAGCTTGAGAATCAGCTACGCAACGCTGGAGGTTGGGATTTTGGCCAGTTTTGTCTGTCTCCTTGTCTGGAGCGGACTGTGATGTGTTGGGAAATCAGGGGTTTGTCTTGAAGAACCCATGCTGGTGCCCTAAGCACTTGCTCTCGTACGCGACTCGTGTATCGCCCTTCCCGCCACGGTTCTGTTCCCAGCCGCAGCTCGGCATGTCCAGTACGTTCACTGCCATGTTCGTGGGGTTGAAAGCACAAGAAGCTCAGTTGAATAGTGCTGCCCTCTCCGGACAAGCCTGCCTGAGCTCTAGCTTGTGAGCTCTCTGGAGCAGGGACTCCGTTTGATTTATCTCTATAGTGCCTAGCAGAGTGGGGCCTTGATCCCTGAATGGGGCCCACTGGTGCTACCCTAGTAATAAATCATCACAGTGCCTGTTCTGGCCGGAGATGCCAACACACATTGACTGACGTTCTGTAGACTGGGGATTGCGGCGTGCCCCTGTATTTCCTGCTGAACGTGCGGGTGCCATGGAGGTCAGGGGCTCTCTAGGGAGGAATTATGTCAGGAGAGCAGAGGTTTTCAATTCCTCAGGATGAGATTTGTGTGGATCCTGAGACCCCCATCCTTACCCAACAGGTAGTCTCTGGCCTTACATGGGAAACAAACACCTCGAATGAGTTATCTTTCCTCATTGTCTGTTCCAAATGCACCACGGGAATGAAGAAACTAAGGTTACCCCTGAGTGGAGGGCAGCTGGGTAGAGCCCTCCAAGGAACTGGAGGATCCTGGACAAGCCCTTGCAAAGACTGTTTGCTGCTCCACCCTTAAATTTTATAAATCCATGGTATGCCCACACCTTGAATATACTGTGTGTAATTCTGGTTGCCCCATCTCAAGAAAGATATATTAGAACTGGGAAAGGTGCGGAGAAGGGCAATGAAAATTATTAAGGGTATGGAACATGTGAGGAGAGATTTAATAAGACTGGGAATTTTCAGCTTGGAAAAGAGGAGACTAAGGGGGGGGGATACGATCAAGGTCTATAAAATCATGACTGCTGTGGAGAAAGTGAATGGGGAAGTGTTATTTACTCTTTCTCATAACATAAGAACCAGGGGCCATCCAATTAAATTAATAGGCAGCAGGTTTAAAACGAACAGAAGGAAGTACTTCACACAATGAACTGTCAACCTGTGGAACTCATTGACATGGGATGTTGTGAAGGCCAAAAGTATAACTAGGTTCAGAAAAAAACTAGATAAATTCCTGGAGGATAGGTCCATCAATTAGCTATTAGCCAGGATGGGCAGGGATGCAACCCCATGCTCCAAGTGTCCCCAAACCTCTGACTGCCAGAAGCTGGCACTGGATGACAGAGGATGGATCACTCGACAATTACCGTTCTGCTTATTCTCTTTGAGGCATCTGATATTGGCCACCGCCAGAAGACAGGATACTGGGCTAGATGGACTTTTATCTAACCCGGTATGGCCATTCTTATGTTCTAGCCTGAGCTACGTTAATGACCATGAGACCATGCAGATCAGCAAGCCCAGGTTGACCAGCATGAGAGCTAGGAACAAAGTGTTCTCAGCTGAGGGGATGTGGCTATGAACCAATCTGCCAGAGGAGATCAGGCAGCCCCAGAGCCTGGCCATTCTTAGGAACCACTGCAAAGCCCTCCCCTTCGAAAAGGCCTTCCCACCAGCAGAATGACACTCCCCACCCTGACATCCCTTTCTATCCCCAAATTCCCAACTAATCCCCCAAAAGCCCTAAACAAATCAACCTAAAATAAGTAAATTAATAAAATGTACAAAATCAAACCCAAAGCAGAGTTTTTACCGGGGGAAAAAGAGAAATGGCATCAACTCCATGGACCACACTAGGGATTTGACTCTTGCTGTTGATTTTACATGGAAGGTTCCCAGATGCCACAGTGATGGGCGGCAGGACAACCCCGAAGATGGATGGATAACATTGTCGCATAGCCACCCTCCCCTGGATGCCAGGCTAGGAACAGGAGAGCTGGGAAGTTGATCTTGGTTGCACCTACTCACTGGCTGCAATATAGAGGAGAGACCTGTCACCATCTCGCCTAAAGATAATTACCCTGGAGTGGGTGGTACCGTGGTTATATAAGGCCCAGGACAGAGCCCATCTGGGATACTGTGTGCTAGGCTAATCACTGCTACATGGGAAAGGCAGAGTTGTGGTCAGTTATCTGCTCTTGTCTCTTATCATACCACCTTCAGTCACCTCCACGGTCTTCACCCTGGGTACGTCTACTTCCATAGCAGCTTCCCAATTGCCAGCATCTAGCACGTCGGCCATTCCTGCCCTATCAACCATATTTGGTGGCTGCAGTTGCAAGATGGATGGAGTTTTTGTTCACCCATGAAAAGGAGAGTTGGAGCCTCACCCAGCACTCTGTCCTCTTGGACAACGTATTAAAAGAGAGACTTGCTGTGAGACCTGAGATCAGTCTGATGAACATACGGTAACACTGGGCTCAGCCAGGCTGCAGATGGGAGAGAGACATGCCAGGCATGGGAGAGCCCAAAAGGTGACTCAAACTGCAGAGATGTTTGCCAAGAGAAGATCCCTCCTGCAGTATTTAAGTAGGACAGTACATCTCCTAACTGCTATGTGGGCGTTCCAAGAACTAATCAGAACACGCTGCAGAACTTCCTGCAGTGCCCGTGAAATGCAGGCGTTGGATTTTATGTTGTTATTCTCTTGATGATATCTGTTGAGACTATAAACCACAAGGGACAACACCCCCTATGCTGCATGATAGATGCACCTTCCAGTTAAGCACTGGATCCTACACTGCTCAGATACCTGTGCAGTGTTAAAATGGGCTAAAATCCATTCTTGCAATCCTGGCGCTATTGTTCCAGCAGCTGAACCAGGAACAACGGCACCCTGCAGATCTTCGGCATCTGGGTTGGGGCTGTTCCTTCACCAACAAACTTCTCCCATGCCCAGAGCATGTGTTCATGCGAAGAGCAGGATTTTCAATTATCCCATCAATAAGGGGCATATGGACTAAGCACTGTCGTTACCCTGCTTCTGTCCAGGTCTTTGTGTGGTCTCGAAGTCACATTCCTGCAATGTCTACAGTTTTCCGATGAGCTCCCTTACTGTCCCTCCATCTGACCAGCACCCTCCAGTCTTCCTCCTCTTTCTTGAATCTAAAGATCCTAGTGACTCTAATGTCAACTAAATACAGACTCAACCCCAAGAGCCAAACAGCAGGAGCAGATCTCCCCCACCATTACCCTGATGGGTTAAAGCCTGAGGGAGAAAATGGGCTTTACACCACTGGGGAAAGGTCAGCAAGCTTGAATTACACTGGACCACCCAGGGAAGCAAATTCCAGAAATGCAAGTGCTTCACTGAGAACTGCCAGCATCCAGGCATCCAATCTGGGGGAAGGAAAGTATGAAAATCATTGGCTTTTTGCAGCTTTTGTGCTGATTGAAGGATGAAGCCATAAGAACATAAAAGTGGCCATATTGGGTCAGACCATTGGTCCATCTAGCCCAGTATTTTGCCTCTGACAGTGTCCAGTACCAGAGCTTCAGAGAGACTGTACAGAACAGGTCAATTTTGGGGTGCTTCACCCCTGTCTTCCACTCCTAGCTTCTATCAGTCAGAAGTTTAGGGTCAGCCAGAGCATAGGGTTTGACCATGTTGGCTAATAGCCATGAGTGGATCTATCCTCCATGAACTTATCTAGCTCTTTTTTTGAACCCAGTTATACTTTGGGCCTTCACAATATCCCCTGGCAATGAATTGTGCAGGATAATTGTGTATTGTGTAAAAAGTACTTTCTTTTGTTTGTATTAAACCTGCTGTCTATTAATTTAATTGGTTAACCCCCAGTTTTTGTATTGCGAGAAAGGGAAATAATGCTTCTCTAGTCACTTTTCCCACACCATTCATGATTTTGTAGATTTTTTTCATATTCCCCTCCCACCCCCCACCGCATGTCTCTTTTCTAAACAGAACAGCCCTAATCTTTTTAGTCTCTCCTCATATGGAAGCCGTTCCAAACCCTTGATCATCTTTGTGCCTTTCTCTGAACCTTTTCCAGTTCCGCTACATCCTTTCTGAGATGAGGACACCAGAAATGGACACAGTATTGAAGGTGTGGGTGCACCATGGATTCATATAGTGGCATTATGATATTTTCTGTCTGTTTTTCTATCCCTTTCCTAATAGATCCTAACATTCTGTAAGCCTTTTGGACACAGCTGTGCACTGAGCTGAAGTTTTTGGAGAACTATCTCAGAATCATAGGGTTAGAAGAGACTGCAAGGGTCATCTAGTCTAACCCCTGCCAAGATTCAGGATTTGTTGTGTCTAAACCATCAAGACAAATGGCTCTCCAGCCTCCTTTTGGAAACTTCCAGTAAAGGAGCTTCCATGACCTCCCGAGCTCTCTGTTCCGCTGTTCTTATTGTTAGGAAGTTTTCCCTGAGATTTCATCTAAATCTGCTCTGCTGGAGTTTGAACCCATGGCCTCTTCTTGGCCTGCCCTCTCTGACAAGAGAGAACAACTTTTCTCCATCTTTTTTATGGCAGGCTTTCAAGTATTTGAAGAGCACTGTCATGTCCCCTTTTAATCTCCTCTCTTCCAAACTAAACACACCCAGTTCCTTCAGCCTTTGCTCATCTGGTTTGTGTTCCAGCCCTTTGATCACCTTTGTCGCTCACCTCTGGATCCTCTCCAGTTTCTCTACATCCTTTCTGTACATTGGTGAGCACAACTGGACACAGTTCTCCAGCTGAGGCCTAACCAGTGCCGAGTAGCGAGGTACTGTCACCTCCCGTGATTTGCACGCTGTGCCTCTGTTAACGCAACCTAAAATAGCAATTTCTTTTTTTGCAACAGCAGCACATTGCTGACTCGTGTTGAGTCACGCTGACTCCCAGCTCCTTAGCGGTGCTGCTGCCAAGCCAGTTATCCCCCATTCTGTATTTGTGCATTTGGGTTTTCTCCCATAGGTGTAGCACCTTACATTCGTCTTTGTTGAATTCCACTTTGTTGTCTGTAGCCCAGTTCTTCAATTTATCGAGATCCTTTGACTTTTAGCTCCATCCTCCAAAATGTTTGCAACCTCCCCCTGCTCCAGTATTGTGCCACCTGCAAATCTGATCAGTGTGCTCTCTGTTCCTACATCCAGGTCATTAATAAAGATGGTAAATAACATGAACCCAGAACAGATCCCTGTGGAACACCACGAGACCTCCTTCCAATCCGACATCATTCCATTCAGAGTTACTCTTTGTTTGCGCTTGTTTAAGC